CAAAAACACTGAAGCACTCAGCTCTCCCCTCTGTATACAATACTGCAACTATTGATGTGCAGCGTACATAACAGATAATAGGAACTCGCAATTAAATCGCATCCGGCGTAGGTACCTATAATATAATGGCAGTGTGCAGATATCTGTGGTGCGTTTATCAATTATACATCGTTAAATATTTATAGGTAGCGAGACACGCCGTTGCGGGCGAACCGGATTGCCTTATTTTTGAAATGTCCTCGGAATCTTGCAGATGTTATTTTTTATAAACATTTTTTTTTTGTCGTCGTTACCCGCGCGCGTACGATCGCAAAACCGTTATGCCCGTAGTTCTAATTATTATTGCGACAGTAATAATAATAATTATTATTATTATTGCATCGGCGATGGTCGCTCGCGCACGAGAAAACGCTTCGGAAATCGCTTAAACCGACGACGACGTTGCCGTCGGAATTTATGATCCGCACGGGCTTAACTCCAATTAACGTTCTCTGCAGGCCATTACGCGACGACGACAACGACGTTATTAAACGGTTTCGAACGCTTATACTATATTAATTAGATATTATACTGCAGCTATATAACATAAGACTTGTATACGCGTTACTACAGTTTCTTTGCTGTTGGTCACCTAGTAAGTGGTTACGTAAAATATATGATACATTGATCCGTGTTTGGCCATAATACATTAATACCAACCGATTTTGATAATATTATATTTTCAACGACGCACATTATACTTAATATATAGGTGCATATTATTATTATGTTATATTTTATATGGAAATTTATCCTAATCACCCGTGGAGTTATTCTAATGCATACCTAACCCAACGCGATCCCACCTTGCAATCTCATTTTAACCGTATAATATATTATTATTATATTATATACGCGCGTCTGATATCAGACGTGTAATAATAATGGTCGATGATTTTTAACGTGATTTTATAATAACGACGATTAGTCAACACTAACACAATTAATCGGTTTTGTTTTTAATTTGGTTTCAAATCGGTATTCGTATAATACTTGTATTTAGACGATTATGTTATACGACGGACGGGCCTTCGATAAGTGAGGAAAACATGAATGTATATTTATCTATATACTCCTATACTTTCATTATTTTAAACACGGTGAAAAACAACTGTGTACAATAACTTGTATTTAAATGTTTCTCCATCGCATCGTCAATGCAGGTTGTTGCAGTAGGTACATACAAAATTCATATATACAATAGGTTAGTAGTGTCATCACATAGAATTTTGTGTTTTTTTTTAATTATGTATGTGCAGATTGATTAAAGCTGTTTATTATTGTAGTTTTGTAGTACATTTTATGTTTTTACTGAGATTTAAAAAAAAAAAATTTCTGTAACCCCGATCAACAAAAAATATTCATACAAATCGATTAACATTTTTAGTCGAAATTGGTACAGTGTATAGGTCGTATTAATTATGTTATAATAGCAGTCTACTCGTTTGAGTAAACTCGTTGAAGGTTCCCTGAGAGACATAAAAGTCTAACCATGAACGGCCACTATGTAATAACACTAATAACTAATAATATATAATACATTAAACAGTTGTTGATGATTCAAGGTCCTCTGATTTCTCGTTTCTTTGTGTTTCGATCGATTTTCATCCTCGTTTCGTGTATCATATTATAATATGTGCAGTTGCAATATGATAGTGATTGTAATAATTATACGTTTTACTTTGTTTTATAATAATTTTTGGAGAAATATTTCCGAGAGGCGGTCGGTCGGTTGAGCGGGAATGGGCATACGAATACAAGTGGCAACACGACACGACGTGTTGTGTTGTGTCGTTTTTAAGGTTTTTATAATATTGTGTGAAACATCGGGAGGGCTGGTTAGTGGCTAAAATAATAATAATAGTACAGTTGTATACGGGTTTTATACATTTTGCGTCTGAAATAACAAACACCGTGCGGGGGACAATTTATTGTTTTTACAATGCACTATTCGATTGTCGGCAAACCAGTGATCGATCTCGTCGAAAACGCTCGTCACGTCACCCGTCCGGATTTCAAATATTCTCCCCTCGAGTCTCCGGGGCGGCGACACACCCACGATATCGGATTTTCAGCAGACGGGTCGGTCCGTGCACGACCACCATATTAAGTGTATTATATTATATATATCTCCATATGCTATACAACATAATTGCCGTCTGCGGGCTTTGCGGTTTGTTGCGTATATGTGGACCGACATAAAAAAAATTAAAAAATAAGTCGTCTCTCGCGATCTGTTATGCTGCAGAGTTCGATGTATTCCAAGCTATAATTCGCTACCGGGTTTTTGTGCTCGTGTCTCGATCGCTGCCGATCCCGAACAGCCGATTTTTTTCCTCTATTGTGTCCGATCGATTCACTTCGTGTATATATTGTAATGTATAATATTAAATTATACTACGTATAGAGTATAGATACACTACCAATACGACGATAGTGGTCCCGCTGGTGTAGTGCTTCGCCACAAGGTTACGCGTACTGTTGGGCCGTGACACGGCCGGCTGCTGCAGACGCGGCGGCGCGGCTCGCGCCCGATCGTCTACGATATTTATTTGATTATATTTCGGCGACTATTATATTTTGTCCGTATCTGTTATCATTAATATTATATTACAACAATCGAACGAGCCTGTCTATGATTTTTTTAATAATATTATTATATTGTTGTAAGTATCTTTATAACGGATATGCCGTCGGTAGTCGCGAGGGGAGAGAGACTTCGTCATTACGTTGACTGCGCGACGTCTATATCAGTTTCCGTCTGTCGCCATCAGCGCACACGCTACGTTATTATTATAATACACATCGATGCCGACTTTTTAATTCACTCGTTTTGCCCTTTCGATTCCGCGGGACCGTTCGCCGCCGCCGCCACTCAAATGTCAATCGCGAACCGGAATTTTTTTTATATTTATCATAGTCCTTTCCCCCTCATTCAGTTCATGTACAATATACACTGCAGCATTACACGCGGATATCGTATTATTTTTAGCAGATCGACTTTCTCGGCGTCTCTAGAAACGCCGTCGTCGTCTGAAATATTTATTTTATATGATATTTATTATATTTTATATATCATAATATTATAGCGTTTGAGTGTATAATACATAGTACATACACTGCAATAAAACGCTCGAGTGCGTTGAATTTCGTCGACCTACCGTGTTCTCGAAAAATTGTATCTAAATAAAGAAAACGAATTATATTAGTTTATGATATTTTTATTTGTATTTATTATTATATTATATACTACATAATATAGTATAATAATATATATATATATTATGTATAGATAAAAGAGTGCGTAGGATATTCCTCGTATATTCAAGGCGAAATCTGCCTGCCACGCCGCGGCGCTCTATTTAACTTCTGCAGCAGTTAGCTGCTGCTGGCTGCTAATAGTACATTTTTATATGATTTTTATTGAACTCAATGACTAGGCGTTATTTTAAAAGCACTCATTTTTCGTCGTCGCCATTTGTTATAAAGACGACACTCGTCCCATACCAATAACAATAATCGTTTGTGCTCGTTTTTAACTGTCCCGTTATAGTCACGATACGTTAGCATTTTAAAATGACGTAGGTACCTTTGCATACGTGTAACGTAATACAAAGCTTAAACTAGATGAATTAACTCGATCAAAATAATATTTGAATGACTTTTCTTACTAATAGAAACGGTGTAATGAATATTAACAATTCACATATGAAACAATTACCTCCTTTTTCGGTTTTAAAAGGTTCAACGCTATGAGAAGGTATAAGAAGTAAGAGGATTGAACATTTTCGAATAATAGTGTTTTCATAAGTGTTTATTCCGATAATAAATGTAAAGTTATTCATAAATACAAAAAAAAACTCTCACTATAAAATACAAACCATATTATACTTTAAAAACGTGTAGGTACAAAAATGAATGTATCAGCTGTTGAGATTTATGTGTTGATATAATATAAATGTTAAAATACAATCACATTTTGTAAATATAGTATAGGTACAACTTCACGCTACAGATTTGTATCATTCTTTTGTGCGTTTATAATGAAATATTATTTTCTATTTTATTCTGATCCTGCTTGTACGATTTATAAATATTTTTTATCCATTGACCATTGTCCATTATGATACTTGTTAACTAAAGCGTTAAAACGGTTTTTCATTAAAAATATTATCATTAACTTTTTTGTTCTATAATCTATATTAAGAGTATTAACCGATATTTCATTATTATTATTTTCTATATATAAAGGTAATAAATATTTACAACAATAAAAATTAAAACAAATTCTTACATTGTACTAACCATTATAGGTATAGAGTGATTCTATTGAAGCAATTAAAAATATATATATAAGTAATATAAGAACCTTAGAAAATTCAGGAATTGAATGATGTATAATGTTAAAAGAACTATAAAACTATTAAACACTACACAGTTCACCGTAATATCAATTAAAATGTTCACCTTTAAAATTGTACTTTCTAATATTTATTTCAGGGTATTTGAATATTATTCTATAATCTATAGAATCCTACACAAACTAATATATTTTCTTGACTTATAAAAACGAGTTATGACTTATGGGTGTGTCGATATTAATATTCTGGTTTTAGCGATTAAGTCATTTTTGTTTATTTATAGATAAATTAATATAATCGTATGTAAAGTAGGTATAGCTTATAATATTAGGTATAATAATATAATTATATACCTAATATTATGTATATATTTAAGTGGTTCTTGAGACTTCGTTATTATTTTCAATCCACGGTATTATTATGACCAAATAATATAATATATAATATTATGTATAATTAGTCACGGCTACAATATTATATAATAGTATACAGTTTATTTAACAAAACGTTTTTCATATTTGCAGGATTATGGCAAGTAAAAAATCTGAAAAACTTGTATGTATCGTCGTCGTCCGCTTTAAAACCAATTGATGAAGCAGAATGTCACCGGAAAATGTGTGTCCAAGATTCAAACAGAATGCTTGGAAAAAAGAACTGTGCTCCAACTGTTTTCGTCCGAAAGAGGAGCACCCTGAGAAGCCCAAACGGGTACTTATTGACTACAAACCACTACCGGAAATATCTCCAGCCCAGGTAAACGCGACTTCTCTCTAAATATGCACTCGTACGGCCCTAAGTGTTTGTACATGCGTTTTTATACCTAAATCTATACACAATATAATATATGTTTTTCCTTCGCAGAGTATATTGAAGGTAAACGGTTCGTGCGACAAATCCCGGAATGTGTCGTTTTCGAACGTCGAGATGGAAGTCATCGGATATGGCGGCGAAGAGTACTCGACCGACGAAGAATATTCATCTGACGAGGAAAACGGTTCGGAATTCGTTGACTCTGGTGACGACGAAGAGCTCAAAAGACTGACCGAAGCCAACACGAACCTAAACAGCAAACCCGATTTCGTGCCCGAAAAGGTTGTCGTCGGTAGTAATGTTGGAAAAACTGCGAACGTAGCGGTAACGGCGGCGACAAACATCAAGTCACCCGTAAAAAAACCAATGGTGCAAAACAAGTCACCGCCGATGGTAACCGTTCAGCCGTTCTGCGGAGACCCACCCAAATCGCTTGTGTTCAACTTCCTAAAGAACAAAGAGATTGCCACAGCTGCTACTACTGCCACGGCCGCAGCAGTCACATCAGCCTGCGAGGAGGCCCCAAAAATCGAGAAAAAAGATACTGAAAACATTCAACTGAGAAAGACTGAAGCAATGAAAAAACCGACTTTATCTAGAAGCTCCCTGGTGGCCAATTCAAACGAACCGTATTTAAACATAAGAAGGTGCAGTTTACCGGCGGAAGAGGAAGAGGTGAAACCGACGCCGCCACCACCGCCTCCACCAACGTTAACATTGACGAATACGGAAATCCCAAGAGCGAAGCTCAGCCACCCGCCAGAAACGATAGCACCCGTTGAAATATCTAGGGGTGCAGAGGAAACCACCGAAGTCATCTCGTCGACGAGAGAGTCAGACGCCGACATGACAGGTGGTAGTGCGGCGCCGTACAAGACTAGAAGTAATGTACCACGGATGGGCACGATGCACTTTAAACTGAAGTTGGCTGTGGCTTCATCCCAGAAACCGGAACCGTTGAAATTGATTGGTAGTGGCGCTTCTGTCGATCCGTCGCCAGATTCGTCGTTGTTGACCAGCAGAGAAATGGCCGGCGAGCCCGACGGGAAAGCGGACTCCGACGAGCCCGGCGATCCGACGTCAACCCCGGTGAACCGATCGTTCCTGCACAACTTCAAAGACAATTCGTCGCCCTTGCGTGACACCTCTACCACACCTCCCAGGACGCCCAACAAAAAGGTCAGTCAAACCTATATAATTATCCCTACTTTTTAGTGTTAATTAAATTTTTTAATAGTTTCCGATGTTAATTCGACTCCAACACTTATATCAGTTATATATCCTTGTTCGCTTTTTTACATGACAATATTATTTTATGTATTTATTCATAAACATTTTTGTTTTAGACTTCGATAACCAGCAACAGCCCTCCCGAATGTCCTAGGAGTATCAAACGCCAAGCCCCGAAACCGCCTCCTCCGCCGCCGTCGTTGACATCGACCAAATGCACCGATCTCGTTTACCACAGCGCCAACAGTTCATTTTCCGACGACGAGTTCAGACCCGATGACGTGACCATCACTAACCGCAAGCTGTTGGCCGAATACTGCGAACAGATTGAAAAGGAACAGTCTCAACACTGTGGAAACTGGGAACGACCATCTGCTGCGGCCGCCACTGTCACCAGCAGTGGCGACCAGGGGCGTGAATCGTCCACACTCCCGTTACCCGGAAAACGGCCGGCGTGCGAGAAGAAAAAGTACGGCAAGGCCACCAAGGTGGGTCTCAAGATTAAGAAATTCCTGAGGATACCCAGTCGGGAATCGACGGTCTCTACACCGCAGCTACCGACTACCAGGCCCAAGTTGGAAATCATTCATCCGCTGGACATCAACAAGTCGGGCGTGGAAATCATTCACAACTACGCTGTCGACGGACTGCTGTACGTAAAAGATCCGTCCGCTAAAGCACCGTCCAACCATCATCCAGGTAAGCGTGATTTGCCATTTTACGATTTTTTTTTTGTTTATCTGCATCCGGTCATCAAGTCGGATGTTTACCGTTCGTATGTCTAATCAATTAACGTGATTTTGATCAAATACCATTGCACGTCGTTAATTATTTATAAATCCTGTTGTACCATTAGTTTCTACCTGTACCGCTATCATCACATCACATATTTAGTAATCTGTTGGTTATCACCTGACCTTTTCCTCGATTATATTCATTCATAAATGTATAATAATTTATACATTTTCGTTTATTACATTTTTAATCAAAGTATAATACATTACTAGTATGTACCTTACCGTCCTTACCTATTATATTATTGTATCCACATGAGCTATTTTTCTAAGTGGGGAATTGTTATTATTTTAATATACATATATAATTATTATTTAGTATAATACGACTTTATTTTAAAATCAATAAACGTAAATTAATCATATTTTTTAAATAAAAAAAATCATTATCCTATAACTTAGGTTAGGCCTATAACTGAGGTGTATGCCTGCAGTATTGCATATATTACCATATCAGCTATATAATTTATGTATATTAGATAATTTTACACGGGTACCTAAAATTAGTAATTTAAAATTATAATAATGAAATCAGCCGTTGACCTAATTAGTAATGACCGTAACTAAATTGTTTTTTGATTATTGTTTACCTTTTCGAAGAAAAATTCATTTAGTCCTCACTATGTTCTGTTAAATGTCAACTCAATTTAAATTATTAACGCATATTATGCCTTTCTACTTTTTGGTAAAATAACTCGTATATTATTTTTCTTGGAAAATTGGACATTTCTTAACATAACCTTTACTATTTAGGTCAACCATGCCAGTACCTATATACGGTATTATGCAAATTCGATTTAATTTAATTTAATAGTAATATGTATGCTATGTCGAAGTTTCTATGAAATATCATACAATATAGTTATTTCAATTTTTTTAATTTATCGTTTTAGTATATTACATATTTGCTTATTATTTTCATTCTATACAAGACAACATTAAATCAACTTTCCAATTAACGTTGGTTCTTTTTTCATCATTCTGTTTGTACTCTATGTTCAATAATCGTTCTGCGTATATCTGCAAAATGATTGTCAATCGACTTACCTATATGGTTTTAGCTGTTTGTTCATTTACTGATAATAGCTGATACTTTAATTTCATTGTGCAGCGTGCCACCTGCATTATTGTCTTTTAACAAACTAATCTGTTGTCCCGTTCACTCGAGCCGAATAATAATAATAGAGTTTGAAATAATGTTTCAGTACGACCTACAAAACCACCTCCGCCGCCGCGAAGTCTTCCACCCGTCGCAAAGCTGCCGTTAAAGTCGTCCGTCCCGTCCACGGAAATCACAGATTACCCCGAAGCACCGAAAACGTGCGATTCCAGCGCGTCCGACGAAGCTTACGAACCGGTAAATTTTTCGGCCCCAGAGTGTGACCACAGTTCGCCGGAAATGGCGCGACTGACGTCCATGCAGTATTACGGTAGCGAGACCGAGTCGGAGATATATCCGACCATCCAGTTTGGCGACGACGTAAGTTACGATGTATTATATTATTATTCTAATAATATTGTACAGACTGATTCATCAAACGTGCTCACTCCCGTTTTTGATTTGAATTCCAATTATCGGAATTTTTAAGTATAGGTATACTCAAGGACCATTTTTCATTGATTTTGATTTTTATACTATTCGACGAGTAGACTCAGTTGCAAAACAAACTTATTTTTGAACAAACATTATTATAACGTAAATTATTAAGGAGATAGTTTTTTTTTACATCAACATTTGAACGAGTAGTTTTTGAGTCATTAGAATGCGTACCTTTACTAATAGGATATAATAGTTCTTAAAAATGATTTTACAAAAATGTAAAGTATCAGCTGTTGGCTTTTGATTTATGCTACAAGAAAAACAATTATTCCAACGCCGAGCATTTAAATTTAAAATATGTTTTAATTTTTTTAGTTCGGAGCCGAAGACAGCATTAGAAACACTCAGTCGGGGCACAAGAGTCTCGAAGAGAGTTACGACGCCGTCGTCATCGCCAATCACGAAGCCCTGACCAAACTCTTAGACCAGGTAACAATACTATCGCTGCGTTATAATAATAATAGGTACTGCGAGGGTGTGTCGTGAGGATCTTCCGACTTATAACTGCTATATTTGTATATGCGTAAGACTTCAGAATCAGTCATCACGATTTAACATCCATATATATATATATATATATATATAACTATCTGACACCGTGCACTTTGTTGCCCGTACATTGTACAAAATTACAACTCTTATAAAAATCGTGATTGTTCAACTCTTTTTGGGAGTAACTCTCTGCATAAGCGCAACTCGGCCACCTTGGTAGGCAATTTGTGAAAATTAGATTTGATGCATGCTGCTTGTATATACCTGATCATGCCGATTAACAAATTAGAACCAATATACAAATAAAATACTAATTTCTACTAATTATTTCTCCTATAACCAAAAGCAACCAATTAATGTCCATCGTAAATCTCAAAATCCCTGTTTGAGCACCTCTCCAGGTTTTAATTTCCCCTTTTTAAATAAGCATACAGCACTCTGCAGGGATAATGCAATATTCTAACGATCAAAGAATTTTCGGAATCGGTCTAGCCGTTCTAGGGTTATAAATGGTCTAAACAATTTTTGAACTCTATTGTAAAAATATAGATATATGTATTAGGTACGTGGGTGTATATCAACAATTTCATATTTCATACTTAATACACATAGCATATAGGACTGAACTTTCGAGTGTAATTTTATATAATATATACTGAATCCTCCGTCGTTGTTTTTCATATATTAATTATATAGGCGACGAGCGGTCCGAAAGTGCCCAAAGAGTTGATGGCGTTGAAGACGAAAAACTTGGAATGGTCCAGTTTCCGAGTGGACCCGACCAGCCGGTTACAAAAATCCGGTTGCGCGTTCTACAACGGCAAATGGTACGATGTGCCGGTGGTGTTGAGCATTTCCAGTGAACCTGTAGAGCTGAACAACGTACTGAACAACCATTTCACCATGACCAAAGTGACGGAGTTCGTGACGCGCGTGGAAAAGGAATACTGTCCGGGCGCCGAAAACGAAGAAGGTATGTATACATTTAATATTTTAATATATTTCGTGATGTGGATAGGAGGGGGGTGATATTTGTATATTGAATCGATCTATCGTCTCGTGGATGTCTCGTGTCCGTCGGATAGCTTTGGTTTTTTTTTAAAAATTAAGTGAACGATTACAAAAACTTCGAATGACGATACATTGCAGCTTACGTGACGCTATGGAATGCACATCGAGTGGAAGCCGTGGAATCGTATTGCAAGGAATACAACGCCAAGTATGCGGACATCACTAAGGAAGCTGGTCTCATCCTAGTGGAAACTGTGAACCTGTTGATCGGCCTGCAGGCGTCGGAAGTGGACCGGTACAGCCTGGAACCGTTCGTGGTGACCAGAAACTGTTTCGGTGCCGACCCGACCGTAGCCGTGGTTCAACTGGAAACCGATTTACAGGTACCTACAACCTACGAATAAAATTGTAGCAAAAGTAACAGCTATAACAGGCCCCCCCCCCCACAAAAAAAACGAAATATTCACTGGTTGGTGTAAACATATGCATCGTGTATTATAAAACTAATTAACTATAATTTACTATATTTATGACTTGATGACGGATCAAGGGTGGTAGACGAGGTGTCAAGGGGGGGGGGGGGCTTTCCATATCCACCCAATCATCCGTCTGTCGAGAAGTATATACATCGTAGTATCGTACGACGTTCTTCTATATGTTATAGACATTTGTTATAATTTATTCAATTTCTAACGTAAAATATAATATAATCTCCGCGCATTTGCAGGAAGCGGATGATACGCTCTGCGAGATCATGCTCAAGGTGCTCAGACTGCTGGCGCCCACGTGGGAGATGACGGTGTGTCTGTCACAGGTTTTGCGGCAGGGCCGGCCCAACTCTTTGTCCAAATGCAAGGCGCTGCTCGAGTTCTGGCTGTGGGGTCCGACCGGAGTGACCGTGTCATCCGACCGACCGCTGTCGCTGAAAAGGTAACCACCACCACCTCCACAACCACTTAACCCTATCCACCGACCTTTAACCACTATCACCACCTCCACACACGCACCACCACCACATTACACCTGTTAGATATCGAGTGCTACGCCCCGGATTATTGTTACCAGATGGTTGGACCTGGAACGCGCCAACGTCCTGCACGGCCACGTGTGTTCCCGTTCCGCCGACCTGTCCGTCAAGCAGATGTGCTACATGTCGTTTTTGGTGGCCAACGACGATAAACTGTTCTCGGACGCATGGACCGTGCTGGCCGATCGCAAGATGCGGCCGCCGCGCGATCCGACGATCTCTAAATGTTAACGCACAAACATGTTTTGTATTGTTTTGTTTTGTATTTTTTCCCTCGAGTGTTAAAAAAATGTTTTTGTCGAAATCATAATTCTTTTCTTTACAACTCTATATTATTTTTTTTTATGTCTTAACTCCAAGTATAACAGTATGATTGTTATTGTAACACCTGTTGCTAAACAATCATGTCCGTTATTATTATTCTAGGATAAAAATGACACTGTCGAATAAATTATTATTATTAACCCAACTGTTAATTATATTTTACGCGTATACATGTTTGCTCATTAACTGTTATTATTATTCTAATTTAAATATTATATATTATTGGGTAGTTGCAAAGTATGATTTTGCAGCCCAATATTGCCATGTTAAAATTTTAAGTATTTAAAATATATTATGGTAAGTTATAAGATACTTAAAATAAGAATATTTAAGTATTTATTTGTATAAGAAACAGGAATGAAACAAAAAAAGCTCTCTATTTTGTCAATTATTTTTGTATCAAAAAAAAATTACAAATATTATACTGTTTGTGTATTTTTGTGCTAAACCTACTTGATAAGAAATTTACCTACTATATTTTTAAACTTTAAATTATATACATATTTTTTTACATGTTACACTTTGTACCTATTTGTTATGCCTAAATTTATTGTCATCTTAACTTTTCATTGATTGTAATAACCAGAGATTTTGATTTTTATTAAATGTACATTATGAATACACTATAAAATTATTATAATATTTTCAAATTACAGGTAAAATTAATAAAAAATTAATTTTAATAAAATGTCAAAAAATATACTATTTATTCTATTATTGGTATTCCATATGATTTAATATGTGATAAGTACAATATTATTCATGAGGTATCTAAAATAATTTTGTAGTTGTTAAAAAATAAATGTGCTTGGCACGAAAGCAATACTTTTTTGCTGGTAATGAACAGGTTTAATTTAATTATTGACTTAAACGGCCATAATTATTCTTATATATGATACTATTTTGAACGTTTGAACGTGTAGTTATTTTGTTATCTATTGACTATTATCAATAATACACCTAAATAATTTTTGTTTTATGATTAAAATATATTTTATCCATAGAATCACAATATATTGACTATGAGAAACTATTACTTATTACTCTCATTACTTATTACTTTCATTCTTGACACAGACGAATTGATTAAATTGGTTAAAATAACTAAGAGTTGATTGATGGTTAAAATATTATAATATAATATTAAATATTATCATCATTTATAAGGTCAAGCTTGTCTGTTGTAAATTGGGAGGTAATTAATTCAGTTGAATTGTTTCTAATTGTGTTTTAGTTTTTTTATTGTGCTGAATATAAACTTAATTTGTCCTCAAAAAATCCATCTGAGATACAGAGCTGACAAATGTTAAAGGTACATATTTTATGTAATATTAATATTCAAATAAAGTACAATACATTACTCTGATTAAGATTCTAAAGATTTTTAAAATGTAAAACACAGTTAATACAGTGTAATATATTTGAATAAGAAGTGTCAATAAGTAATTATGAAAAAACACAAGAATTTTTAGAAAGTCAATTTATCATAAAAATATTTTTTACACCTTATCATGGAGAAGATTAAATTTGATTAGATTTGATCCAGTAAGTTAAATTTATTTTCAATTTCTATAGGAGTAGCCAGATATTGTTTATAATAAAACACATGTTTCCTTTACAAAAAGTTAGTTTTAAAAATCAGAAACTATTAATTCCAGTTTTACATTACTATGTAGAACGTAGGTACTATACCTTTATCATTACATAATAATATGTTTTCCGATTTTTAATGTAAATCATAATTAATAATTTTGTAATATGATGCAAAAAATGGATGATGCAAAAATGTATTGGGCAAAAAAACTTCATGAATATAGTTGTTACTTATTACTTATTAGTTAATAAATATTAAATCTATTATATTCAAAATGTATACACTTAATTCGTTAATACAAAAGGGTATGCATCTAATATTTTCCAAAGCGTAAAAGCGTTACCAACTTAGAAACTATTGAGTCCCTTAAAAGTTATTTGGTGTTAGTTGGTTTGACCATTAATACAATAATTTTCTGAAATTCAACTTGAATAAAATGGATTATATTTTTATTTTATTGATAATTTGTTGATCAATTGTAAAGTTATAACATCCTAGATTTTTTCTAAACACCAAATGAGTTATAGGTATATAGGAATTACTTTTATGAGTAAACCATGCATCATTAATATTGTGACATGTGTGTTGTTCTGCTATCTTATTGTTAAACAGATATTTTTACATTTCTCTAGTTTGATTTTTTCTCAATTGTATGCTTCACATATCAAGCTCATAATAATTAACATTTAATTATTACCAGACAAAGCATTTAGAATGAATAAATATAAATGCTATATAATATTAATGCATAATTTTACTAGATTCTTTTTTATATAATTTATCTATGTTAATTTTCTTTTAACTAACAAAATCTTTCAAGTCAGAGGGCCTCCTTCTTCACGTGATTTTCATGTTGTTATATTAATCTTACAATATCAAATTTACTTATTGTATATCGATAAAATATTACAGATTGTAAATATACTATTTTGTTTAAATAAAACAAAACTACAAATCTAATTGCATAGTTTCTATTGGTTTAATTATAATTTTTTTTTTATTCGGCCAAAATTTTACAAACTACACTAAAAAAGGCAATAAAGTATAATTTGTGACATCAACAACATTTCTAATGTATTAAAATAATTGTCTTTCCTAAAAAACATATTATACATATTACTGTCAAGTACTAAAGTTGACTGTGTCCAATGAATATTAACAAGTTGTAAAATTTTTTACATTCACATAATTATTTTGTTGAATATTGACTTATGAATGAAATGTGTGTTTACAAACAGTGGTACTTTAATCAATTGTTATCGGTCAACATATTCACTAAACATTTTTGTTTTTTCAGTATTATTAAGGGGTATGAATACCAACCGATTTTAAGGAGATCATATAGGCAATTTTCTATGTGTGTGCACGCGGGTCGTGTAGATGAGTGAGTAGTAGGTGATAATTTGTGTAAGTGATAGTGTATAAAATAAATAGCAGAGCGCACCCAAACATGTCAGTAGCACAGCACTTTACACACTAATTACAAACGTGAATTTTAGTGAAACACTGAAATTTAGTTACATATTTCCAATAATATGGCTAACTGAGTGACATTAGAGTATGAACACCTATTATACAAATTGAAGAGAAGAAGTTTATCTAGGCTCGTATGAGAGTCAATTTTCGATATTTTATTTTCATTGTTCAATATTTAGCTCTAAAACGTGTGATATATTGAGTTTAGTAATTAAAATATCAAAAATTGACTCCTATATTGGCATAGTTTAACTTCTCTTCTACAATATTGATAATAGGTGTAATTATTACTCTCAAACCGCTCAATAAACCATATATTTCCATTTTAGTGGAAATACAAAATTACATTATCATAGAATTTTTCAATACTATTCATACCCCTTTTATTTAAATATTTAATTCTCATATGTTTTAAGTTTTAAAACTTGCTTATTGCAAATCTGAATAAAATAAATCACAATTTTATTTCCAATATTAATGTATAAAATGGAAGTGTACTATTTAGATTAAGTTATATGAACATATACAATAAAATAAAATAAAACAAATTGTTTATGCATTTAAAAAAATAGACAATTATCACAAGTTATTACTAAAACTAATTAATATAGTAATTAGATATCTTTAAACTAAATAATACTCATATTTTGTCTAAGCATTGTTGCTTTAAATAATTAATTAAATTACTTAGTTCATAATGTTCTGATTTATTTGTAACAGCTTCATATAGTTCGTACAAAGAGGGGGTCTCGTTTAATTTCTTTCCCATAACGACTACAAATGGAAATCCTAATTTCTTTGCTTCAATTAATCGCTTGCCAATAGTCATATGGGTTCGATCGTCAACAATAATATCATCTCCAAATATTTCAGTAAAATGATTGTAGAGGGAGTTTATGTTATTCAGAGATGCGTTTTCCTCGATACTGCCTTCTTTGGCTGGTATTATACAAATGGTAAATGGAGATATTGACCTTGGCCATTGAATTACATCTTGTGAGCTCAAACATTCCACAGATGCACCGATTATTCGGGAAACACCCAAACCATAGCTACACATATATGGAGGTTTCATGGTGCCGTCTGTGTCCGAATATGTGGCAGACAAGGCGCTTGAATAAAATGTACCTAGGTGAAAAGTGTGGCCTACTTCGATAGCCTTTGTAAATTCAATATCAGTACTAAAGCATTTAGGACACTGGACAGACTCTGGTGACATTTCTTTGTTCATTCCAAAACCACATTTCTTACACTGTAATAATGTATCGTCTCCAACTTCGGCCGGATAATGAAATTCATGGGATTGATTTCCGCCCATCATTCCTGAAGCACCTTCAACTAAAACCAAATTCATAATATTAATGTTTTGCATAATTTTATTTATAATATCCCCTGTACCTCTTATGAATTTAACACCAATATGCTTAAATATCTTTTCGTAGGCTTGGCAAACTTTGTTGTACGTAAATGTAGCACTTGTTTGATCTCTATCAAATGAATATAAATCTTTCATAAGAAACTCTTTGGATCTGATGATGCCCAACTTAGGTCTAATCTCATCTCTGAATTTTGTGCCAACTTGATACAACATTAAAGGTAACTGCTTGTACGTCTTAGGATCTGAACTAAATAAATCAGTAACGACCTCTTCATGAGTCTGTACAAATATATATTGCAAATCACTAATATAATATATAGTTAATCATATATATAAGTATTACCGGACTTAGTAGGAACTCTTTGCTTTTTCGGTCATTCACTAAGTATAAATCTTCAATATTTTTGTTTAACCGACCTTAAAACAAATTAATCAAATGTTAAAATTTTATGTCGCTAGTTGACAATGTAAAATCAAATTAAATAAGTGCATTATGGATATTGTCCAAGTCCAAGTATCTAAAAACATATATGGCAAAATTTAAGGATTCAATAGTTTTGAAAAAATATACCAATAGTATACCAATACAATACAGTATTAAGTATAATTATCTGTTTATGACGTTTTTAAACTATTACGAAAATGAATTACTTGTTATTTTTCTATAATTTACATAATGTTTATATGTTTAAATTTGTAACACTTTGTAACAATTAAAATCAGGCTAATGCACCTGTAATATTCAATGAAAAATAGAAATTTAAATCATTTGTGTCTTTATTTAAAATTGTTCATCATCAATATTGTGAATTAAATATGAATAATATAATTTATACACTATCAAGACAATCATAAAATATCAAGTAATGTTCTCACTTTCTAGGTTATATTAATAATAACCTATTTTTTTTTACAGGGTTTGGTAGTTTGCAAATTAAAATTAGTACTAACATCCACATCTATCAGCTAGAATGTATAGTATTGGTACTTCTATTCAAACTAATGAAAATGTATGAGTATAACAAACCTGTTTTTTTCCACAAGTTACTGTGTATCAATAAGGGCATAGAAATCTTCTGAGCACCAATATCCATCATATTTTTATTTATAATGAAAATCAATTTATCTAAAGATCGCTGAGCAAGAGGCAGTAAGTGGTATAATCCGTTGGCACTTTGTCTGATAATACCAAGTTCCAACATCAACTGTACAATTAATGTGTTCGTTTATTATATATTTGTAAAAAGAAAGAGTAAGTAAGTAGTTCAAATATTGTAAACTAACCTTTTGACTGTTGGATATGAGTTCGTCTGGTTTAAATGAAACATTTTTAGAAATTGGTTTCGTAGGTCTAAACATATTTTTCAAGCTGTTCATTTTGATTTCGAGCTTTAAAATATTCTTGTATACAGCAGTAATATTATCTATTATAATTCTATGAAATAGAACACTAACTACGAAACCATGAAGATTTTCAAAAATAAATAATTATTCATTCATTTTATTCTGAACTCTGAAGTTAAATTTTAAAATAATATTAATTGATATGGTTTGTGAATTTGTGATAACCATGTTATCAAGAAATCGCGGATAACCACAATTTTAAATTTATTTGAAAATAAAAATGCGTTTAGTCCATGAGTTTTTTTGATAACATTGCATTTCATATCATCTATTATTATTTATTATGATGATTTATGATTATGATTTGGGAGTAAGACAATTGGCAATATGACATTGACATTGACATTAACAATATTGACACAGTGCTTATAGTTCATATTTTATAAAATCATAACATAGAAATATTTACATAACATTATACAATATTAGTATTCTAGTACCTATGATGTAAGTATATTACATTGTGACTTAATCATAAGACATAAATTCCTGCAGTTTTACCAGTTGTAATCAAACTGTTCACCTAAAGGTCCTCTTAACAAAAAAAAAAAAAAAAACAGTGAATGAGTAAATCATATTTTATTAGTTAATATCAAATATTTGTAAACAAAACAATATCATATACTTGTAATAATAAACATTTAAACATAATACATTGAAAATCTTTAAAAAAAAAATCAACAAACCCATATTATGTAATGGAAACAATGGCACAAACAATAAAAAATAATAATGAAATGTTACATGATAAGTACACCGCCTGCAGATTCTTGTTTTACAGCGCCCATTTCGTCCAAGAGCCCTGGAAAACCTTCTGGAATCCTGCCTTCATCAACCTCACCGCACCACATTCTGTACTGTGACAATTAATGAATAATTATTTTACAAGACACTCACACCAATGTTATCATGTGCATTCAATAATAACAGTATAACTTATGATGTATGTAAAACAGTAATAATAATAATAATGATAATATACTTTATCCAGTTCCTGCCGCAGCAATACAACAGCCTTCTCGCGGTCTGTCACCAACTCCTCCAAATATTGATAGCGTAACTTTTTTCTTGCTCGACACTCCCGGGCGCTTTGCCGGCTCCTCTCTAACGTATGAAAAAGAAAAAAAACAGTATATAACGGAGACTAACATTACTTACATTTAGGTTAGAACCTAACCTAGTTTGGCTCTGATGTCCACTTTGTCACTGGACTTTTTTCCTGGCTTGCGTCCCCGTTTGTTGGCCACTGGAGGCGGAGTCGTCGTAGTGCTCTCTTTCATCTCCTGTGCTTGTTCCTGTAATATAATTGAACCGCCATATTGTTCAATATTATAAATTATAATATTATGTCGACAACGACGAACATCCAACGGCCCAAGTCGAGAGATAAAACACGCGTATCTTACCACTTGAACGAGGCTGTCGAAATCCTGAGCGTTGATGAATGATTCTTCGAAATCCATATTGCCGTTGAGGTTCGTTTTTAAGTTTTTTATTAACTCTCGAAAATCGTGTCAAAAATCGAAAACCCGCGAATGGCGAATGTCCAATGTTTATAAACAACAAATCGTGTGACAATGATAACTGATAAGGAAATAATGTTATGAAAACCACGGACTAAGATATACAGGACTGGACACGAGATGAATATTGTGGTTACGAAATGTTTTACAACAGGCGGAGTTCGCGGGGATATTTTCCTTTTAGCATTACTAGCGCCGTCTTAGTGGATACTTATGGAACTAGAAATTTGTATGATGTGTTCTAGTTCCATAAGTATCCACTAGGAAGGCGCTAGTAATGCTAAAAGGAAAATATCCCCCGAACACTGCCTGTTGTAAAACATTTCGTAGTCAACCCCCCCACACCCTCCAACCTTGTCGTGTCCAGTCCTGTATATCTTATATCGTGATGACCATATAATAAAATCATTTTCCGTACTACAATTGCACTACGATTTTTTAGTCTACAAACTAATATATAAATCATTTTTTCCGTATCAATACGCTCTTACGTTATATCAGCAACATAGTATGGATAGGATATGATTGAAGGTAATTTTTTGCACAAACCTTCCGTGCCGAATTAAAAAACAACTTAACGTATATACAAGTGTGGAGTGATATGATTTAGTGTGAATATTAATATAATACCATATTAATGATATACATGTTGCAAATTTTTTGCAAAGATTCCCGATTTTCCGTCTGCCGTTAAAAAAACACAATATTTAACAGTTACTATGCAGAATATTGAACACCGCAAAACTAGTGATTCGATTTACGGGACAACAAAGAAAAATATATAATACCCATATTATATTGTTCTATGATAAATAAGCGAGGACGTTGTGAATATTATTAATATTACTTGTGAGCTGTGTTAATGAATTGTTGCTATGTACATATCAGCTATTATGACAATAGAGTATTGACTATAGACCATAATATAATATTAATACGGCAACGCCGCTTTAGGACAGCTGGTGGTTTCATTGTTAATTAAAATCTTAAAACCGATAAACGAATATAATATTATATAAATATTAATTCATCTTATTCCAATTTCTAACCAACGCTGAATAAATAATAACTATATACTAATGACTATTAATTATATATTTATATTATTTATCCATGACTGATGACTAAAACGGAAAATTAACAAATAATTATAGTAAATCAAATTGCGTCAGTTAAAAATACTTAAAATAATAAAATGGTACCTAGGTGAATTATGCTTTTCTATTTTCTATATTATAAACTTAACAAGCCACATATGTCTACATTATACTGAATATCTATGACTCAAACATAATATAGCTATAGGTACCTACCTAATATTATGTAATATATAATAATTAATAATACATTTTAATGAATTTTGTACAAATTTTAACTTTAGACCGCTCTTGACGCTCATAAAATGTATTGTAATTTACCACCAACTTTTTTTTAACTTACCCTAATAACAACTTACTTGGACACTTATATTAATATTTAAAGCTTTTTGACCAAGCAAAAATTATTTTACTTACAATAATTTAAAAAAAAACTAATAAAAATCGAATTTTCTTTAAGCCCGTATAAATGGATTGAAAAGAATTAAAATATTTTGAAATTTGTGTGGCTTATAGAAAATGCTAATGAAAACATTCCGTGAAAAAGGTAGGTAGGCCAAAAAAACAAAATCCATTTCGACGAATAGGTAACTACTGGTTTTGTTTAAAAATCTCGGTTTTTTATAATTTTTTTTTGTTATTCCTTACGTGTTTGGAAATTTCTAAGGATTTTCAATTTGGATCTCTCAAATGCACAAACTATATTCATTTTATCGCCACAAAAGTTATTGAAGTAGAAAATCGAACTATTATTTCAACTTGTTGCTGTAACAAGTCTTATGTCAGACGTTCGCCAGACGATCAGTCCTCCAGTCATGTGATACGTCTGTTATAAATTAAAAAAAAAAAACGCAAGACTCAGGATTTATTTAAGGCACTTTCTTATATTTCACATCACTATAAATGAAATACTCATTAACAAAATGTTTATGCAGGTATAGCGACTATCGTCGACTCGCCCGAACGCACTCGCATGACTGACTCGGCTACTGCTTGTGGCAAGGAGAGAATGCTTTGCTCCCAGTACTACCGAGTACCGACTACTAATTATAATTCATAGATAACACGTCCATGGGACTCGAGGAACCGTCCTGTTTTCCCATCTTGCGATGTTGGGAATGAGTCGATGGGTCTAAGGAGTCTTTTTGGAAAGGATTCACTTCTTGTGATACAACTGATACTCATTGATTATAGTTCTTCCTTCCAGTTTCTGGATTTGCTGGAAGGGGGAATCACCCTGGTAAGGGATTCTGAGACACCCTGACTTTGATCCTGTCCCTCTCCGCAGATATAAGGTCGATGAGTGGCATTCCAACTAGGAGAAAAGCAGCTTCGTCTGAGATCGTCTCGAAGTGTTTCCTGAAGGAGAGTTGGGAGTCGAGTATGATTACCAAGTATCTGAGATGGTTGCTGAGGGCTATTGGGTAACTCCCGATGCTGACCCAAGAAGTGGGTTGTAAGCCCACCTCTTGGTTAGCATGATTTCCTCAGTCTTGTGGTATGCCAGCTGAAGGCCTTGACTAGTCATCCATCTGTCTATGTTCTCTGTATGCGTGTGTGTGAGTCGTAACATTATTGAGGGTGGGTTATTTACAATCTTTATTAAACATGTAATGCAGATAATGCAAATAATCAGACTGTCAGAGGGTCTTTAAAACAGTTTGTGCTTGTGGGTGACACATTTGTATGCTAATAATATACTTAGAGTTGTTGTGTACGTCTGGAGATTTATAATATTTTAGAGAATAAGTTTTATATTATTTTACATTGTTTCATATTATTTGTTTGAAATAAACACAAATGTACTTTTGCGCATGCGCGTATACATTATTCAGCTTATACTATACATTCACTAGTTTATGCTAAGGTATGATAAATTATGCTTAATTATGTCAAGATACGTGATGGATGTACTTGCTTGAGTCGAAACACATATAATATTATGTTGTGTTATGTTGTGCTGCGTAACATTATTATGAAGACGTTTTATATTATTTATTTCAAACATACACACAACACACATGTACTTTTGCACATGCACTCATGTAATATTATGTAATGTTATGTTGTATAAAATATTGAATTATGCAATTTTATGTAAATATAATATGTACATTTATGCAAATATATATGTTAATTAAGCCATATTACGTTAACAAATGTTCGGTGAGGTATATATGGTGGAGGGTATATAATTACAGGTGGATATTATAGTATCAAATAAAAGTTGTGGTGGTGAAGGAGGCGAGGTGGCTAGTTGGTTGGTGGTAGAAGTCCCTAAATCATCCTACTTATAAAGTATAAGGTACTAAGAGTTTTAAACTTTCAACCCTCTCAAAGTATCATCTAGATCAGCGATTCCCAACCTCAAGTCGCGACCCAAATTAGGGTCGCGGAGGTTTTTATGGTGGGGTCGCGAAATCATTACATACGTCTTACAATTTCATATATTAAAAAAAAAATAAAAAAATCCTGAAATATTCTAATAATAAGAATTATAATGATCGAGGAAAAATAATTGAAATAGATTATCTAAATGATCTGTCGCAGGCTGTGCGTGGTCGTACCCGCATAGCGTAGTAACAGGTATATAATTTATATTTTTGCTCATAATAAATTAATTCCATATTACCTACATTTGAAAAAATTAATAAATTCATTTTTATAATACATTTATTACAAGTATTTCAGAATAGAATATAGATAGATAAATCAACAATAACATATTTACCAATTTGATGATAATAAATAAAATAATGTGAGTTTACAATAAATTATGAATTTTGTTTTTTTGGGGTCGCCAAAAGTTAAATTTAAATACTGGGGTCACGCTTATAAAAGTGAACCTGATCTAGATTCACCCTCCCACCAGAAAAAATATTAAAATAGAAAATTGAAATATTTATCTAGCTAAAAAATTTCTCCAGACACACATCGTAATAATATCGTCCTTATAATCACTCCACTCAGAATCTAAAATACAAATCATTGAATAATGAAATATTAATTTAAAATGAAAAACTATTTTCTATGACGATCCTACCAGCCCGTTCACATATTATGACCTCAGTATTATACAAAGATCCGCCATCGCATATATCAGTATTCCACCCATAACATATTTTTAACATATTTTTTTTTTATAAGCTACCTATTTTCATTTTTTTTTTAAATAATACAATCTCCAAGAAGTGCGTATCTATATTAAAACAAATTGTTCGAACTTGCAGCCGCTTTTATTAAGCCGTGTGGCAACCGTTCCGCGAGACAGCGCTTCGCGCGGCCCGTGGACACCGGGCTCAAGCCAAGTCGCCGCCGGCGACCTATTTGTTGTCTTTTCCGTACGCTCGAGTTGAGCAGACCGTGCTTGATGCGTCCGGTAATCAAATAATTATTATCATTGTTGTTATTATTATACATATTATTATTGTTGATCTGTGCTCGGTTGAAGAGACGTCTTCACCAGCCATTATATATATTTTTAGTGTTGCAAATACACACCTTATTATTGTTATCACAACATTGTCGTTCTATTATTTACATTCGGTCACTTTATCCGTCCAAACTTGTGAACACCATTTTTCTTATTTAAGTATAGTTGCCCGGCCAAATGCTAGTAAATAACCGGCAGCCCAAACACAAATAGTCTAGTACAGTATACCTATGTCCTATCTGTTACAGATCTTGTGCATCACTCTCTTTTAAACATAATACAGTCGTATTATGGTAAATAATAATTGTATGTACTGTATGCGTAGGTATATATGTATATTATCTATATATATAAATATACAGCGTACGATGATATTATTAGGTATGATATTTGAGTCATGTCGAATTCAC